CTTTAAGATAAGGAACAAGATAAGGATGACAATTTTACCACCTCTATTTAATATATTACTGAAACTCTAAGATCAATTAGGCAAGAAAAATAGGTAAAATTCATCTGCAGTGGAAAGAAGAAACTAGGCACCAATAAATAGAAAGATACCTCATATTTCTGGATTAGAAGACTCAATTTTGTTAAGATGGCAATATCACCCAACTGACCTACAGATTCAGTGCAATCTCTAGCAAAACACCAACAATATTCTTTGCAGTGATAAAATAATGTATTAGAGATCATATGAAATATCTTTCCATTTGCTTCTTTGTTTTGTTTCTTAAATTCAACATATGAGTGAAACTGTATAGTATTTGTCTTTCTTTTACTGACTTAATTATTTGAATAATCATTAGGGAAACTCAAATTTCATCCACAAAGAGATACTCCTTCAAATATATTGGGATAACTATTAAAAACAAAATAAAACAAAAAAGAATATAAGTGTTGCTGATGATGTGCACAATTCATAGCAGCAATATTCACAGTAACCAAAAGGTGGAAACAACCCAATTGTTCACTAATGAATGAATAAATAAAACATGGTATGTACATATAATGTAATATCGTTTAGCTTTAAAAAGAAAGGAAATTCTGACAAATGGTATAACATGGATGAACTTTGAAGAATTATGCTCTAAGTAAAATATACCAGTCACAAAAGAATAACTACTCATGATTTCACTTTTATGAGGTACCTAGAGTTGTCAAATTCATAGAAACAGAAAATAAAATGGTGGTTGCCAGTGACTGAGGTGAGGGAGAAATGGTGATCTTTTGTTTAATGAGTACAGTTCTGGTTTGAGGAGACAAAATAAATAAATAAATAAATAAATAAAGATCTGGACACTACAATGTGAACATACTTAATGCCACTGAATTTCACATTTGAGAGTGGTTAAATGGTAAATTTTATGTTATGTATATTTTGTCACACACAAAATAACCTAACATAACGAAAAGGTGATCAACTATTACCTTACTGGGGAGAACTAGTGTGAATAATCTTAGCATCACATATATTTACCTATAATACATTAAATATTTGAGGCAGGGGTGATTAACCTGAAACTTTTATATATATATATATACATATGTGTGTGTGTGTATTTATATTTATTTTTTTAAAGATTTTATTTATTCCACAGACAGAGATCACAAGTAGGCAGAGAAGCAGGCAGAGAGAGGGGGAGGCAGGCTCCCTGCCAAGCAGAGAGCCCGATGTGGGGCTCAATCCCAGGACCCTGGGATCATGACCTGAGCCGAAGGCAGAGGCCTTAACCCATTGAGCCACCCAGGCACCCCTATATTTATTTATATTTTGCATAATGTTAAAATTTTGCATCTCTTAAGAACCGATCTCTGGAGAAGCATCTCAAATATACACTGAATAGCAGGAAGCCAGTCACTTAGAATTAAACTTTTAATTTTTTTTTGTTTTAATCCCATTAAAATTAACATACTGTGTTATATTAGTTTCAGGTGTGATTCAACAATTCTATACATTACTCAGTACTCATCACGAGAAGTTTACTCTTTAATTCCCATCTCCTACTTCACCCCCACCTACATGCCCTCTGGTAATCATCAGTTTATTATTCCCTATAATTGAGTCTGATTTGGGGTCTTTTTCTCTCTCTCTCTCTCATGCTCTCTCTTTCCTTTTGCTTTTTTGTTTTATTTCTTAAATTCAGCTTTTGAGTGAAATAATATAGTATTTGTTTTTCTCTGACTGACTTATTTCAATTAGCACAATACTCTCTATTTCCATCCATGTTGTTGTAAATGGCAAGTTGTCATTCTTTTATATGGCTGGATAATATTCCGTGGTACATATATACTACATATTAATTATCCATTCATTTGCAATGGACACTTGGACTACTTCCATAATTTGGTTATTGTAAGTAATGCTACAATAAGCATGTGCATCTATTCCTTTCTTTCTTTTTGTATTATTTTGGGTAAATACCCAGTACTTTAATTACCGGATTATAAGGCAGTTATATTTTTAAATTTTAGAGGAACCTCCATACTGTCTCCCACAGTAGAGGCATCCATTTGCACTCTTACTGACATGCAAGAAGATTTCCTTTCCTCCACAACCTCTCCAAAACTTCTTTCTTCTATTGTTGCTTTTAGCCATTCAGACAAGGGTGAAGTAATATCTGATTGTAATTTTGACTTGCATTTCCCCAATGATGAGTGATGTTGAGCATCTTTTCATGTGTCTGTTGGCCATCTGAATGCTTTTGTTTCTGTTTTTTGAAAAAAAGTATATTCCATCTGTATGTTTTCTTTGGTGAACTGTCCATGCCTTCTGCCAATTTTTAAATTGGATTATTTAGGGTATTTTTGCTGTTGAGTTGTATGAGCTCATTATATATTTTGGATATTAACCTTTTATTGAACATGTTGTTTGCAAATATCTTCCTTCGGTAGGTTGCCTTGTAGTTTTGTTGATTTATTCATTTGTGGTGCAGATTTTTATTTTGATGTACTCCCAATAGTTTATTTTTGCTTTTGTTTCCCTCTCTTCAGGAGACATATCTACAAAAATTTTGCTAAGGCTAATGCCAGAGAAAATACTCCCTGTGCTCTTTTCTAGAATTTTTATGGTTTCATGTTCAACATTAAGGTTTTTAATCCATTTTCAGTTTTCTTTGTGTGTGTGTATGGTGTAAGAAAGTGATCGAGTTTCATTGTTTTTACATATTGCTGTCTAGTTCTCCCAACATCATTTGTTGAAGAGATTGTCTTATTTCCATTGGATATTCTTTCCTACTTTGTTGAATATTAGTTGATGATAGAGTTGTGGATTCATTTCTGGGTCCTCTGTACTGTTGCATTGATCTATGAGTCTATTTTTTGTACCAGTACCATACTTTTTTTTTTTTTATTACTACAGCTCTTTAATATAAGATGCCTCCAGACTTGCTTTTCTTTTTCAAGATTGCTTTATTTGGGTTCTTCTGTGGTTCCATACGAGTTTTGGGTTGTTTATTCTAGCTCTGTGAAAAAATGTTGTTGATATTTTGATAAAGATTGCATTAAATGTGCAGATTGCTTTGGATAGTATACACATTTTAATAATTTTTGTTCTTCCAATCTTTGAGCATGGTATGCCTTTCCATTTTTGGTGACATCTTCAATTTCTTTCATCAGGGTTTTATAGTTTTCAGAGAACAATATTTTTGCATCTTTGGCTAATTTATTTTCCTAGATATTTTATTGCTTTGGTATAATTATAAATGGGATTGCTTTCTTCTCTTTCTGCTCTTTCATTATTAGTATATAGAAATAAAACAGATTTCTGTACATTGATTTTCTCTCCTGAGACTTTACTAAATTCATTTGTTAGTTCTAGTAGCTTTTTATTGGAGTCTTCAGGATTTTCTAGGTATAGTATCATGTTATCTTTAAATAGTGAAAATTTGACTTCTCCCTTGCTTATTTGGATGCCATTTATTTATTTATTTTTATTATTTTTGTTTTTTCTCTGATTGCTGTGGCTTAGACTTCCAGTACTATGTTGAATAAAAGTGGTGAGAGTAGATATCCTTGTCTTATTCCTTGACCTTAGAGGAAAAAGAGTTCTTTTCACTATTGTGTATAATGTTAGTTGTTTGTTTTCCATATATATGGCCTTTATTATGTTGAGTATATTCCCTCTAATCTCCTTTTTGAGAGTTTTTTTTTAATCATAAATGGATGTTGTACTTTTCTGCATAAATTAAAATGATATGGTTTTAATATAATTAATCTTTTTTAAACACACGTAAAAACTACCACAGATCAATTATTTCCTATAAGAAACAGAATATTAGTGTTATCAATTATGATTCAGTGGTATGTTTCTCAGAAGAAAACTTATATTATTCATATTTGTCCCTTTAGTCTTTTCTTCCCAAGTTCTATCCTTTACTGTTAGATCAAATTCCCCTAAACTGTTTTCTTTGTGTATTCCATTCCCCTTAAATTTAATTTTCCCTTCACCACAAGTTAAAATCTAAAAGCTTCCACTTTGACATTTCAGACTATCAAATGATCTGGTACTTATTTGAATTTTTGATTGTCCTCCCAAATGACATTTCAACCTAAAGTCTCTGCTTTTATCTACATTTCCTTCTCCTTTTTATCCATAGCTTTCATTGTGAATTTTTCTAGAACTGAAATTCCCTTCATTATATTGTGTATGTGCAAAATACAAATTTTGTATTTTTTTAGTTCTCCGTGAATATTTTCTATTCACGGAGAACTTATTTCTATGTTCTAGTTTTCTAGGTTCCTCCATGAATATTTTTGAGTGCATCATCCCATACTGATTTCCATCTTTGAATTCTGATAACTTTACTAATTGTAAATTTGTCACCTGGCCTTAAGTTAATATCTTTTAACTATTATACATCTTGAAGGGAATGTGATTATTATAACTACAAATCATATGACTGAGTTATTGAACAAACCTATCACACTTTATCCAAATGAATGTCTCCCATTTAAAGAATTTATCTTTGGAAAATTAAATACTTAATGTAATAGAGTTATTGTTCAAAATATAATTAACATTTCTTTTTGGAAATTCTTTCCATATAGTCTTCATCATTTGGGGACAAATATAATTTTCAAGATAGTAAAGTCATATTGATTTGAGATGGTGAATAGGTTGAGTGGTATAGTTTGGCATTAAGTTTCTTTACTCTTGCATCCCATTTTTTACATTGTTTTATGGGGTGATTATCAAACAATAAAAGAACATTTAAAGGATACATTTCTTATGATGCACCTAAAATACAGTAGAGGGAGTTCTTCAAAATATTTTGAGCCTAGGAATAAGTGTGCAATTAAAAAATATCTTCTGAAAGGATTAATACTTATTTGGAAGACAACTTTCTAGTAGCCCTATTTCTAATTTCTGAAAAAAATTAATATATTAATAAATAAATAGAAACATTTTACCGTTCCACACAGCCAGAAAGCTTGGAACAATGGCTAGAAGCAGGGGCATCATGACCTCCAGCAACATATAAGAATCCATTGTATGCTGCAACTCCCACACCTCCACGTCTTTTTGACATTGAAGCACACAGACTCCACTTGTTAGTGTGTGGATCAAAGTATTCCATTGATTTGAGGCAGGAACTTCCATCACGACCACCGATAGCATATAGCCTAGGAAAAAAGAACAGAAGTGTGAGTGTGTGTATGTGTGTGTGTATACAAGCATTTTTACACACACACACACACACACACACACACACCTTGTACAAAGCATTTAAAGTTTATGATTATATGTTCTACTCCCTTAGTATTTTGTAGTGGATGGCCTGAGTTTGTGAATGGATAATTACCTAAAGGCATTTTTCAAGGTCTACTCCAAACTCCCAGGCTTCAGTGTTTTCGTGAAAGTTCGACATTATGGACTAAAACATCCCATTAGAAATGAAGTTAGAGAGAGGAAATATCAAAATACTGGCAGTATTTGTCAATTATACCTTAATAAACCTGGAAATTAAAATAGAAAAGGGTAGGTAGGATGTTTCCAAAGACTAACTCCAGCAACATTACAATTTTGGCTAGGTTCAACTGAATAACATTAAAATCCCTCTTATATTTATGAACTGATTTACTTAGTATTAAAAATATTAATCATTAAGAAGATTAACTTAATAAACAATGAAGAGAATAAGAATCAACAAACTGGATTTTTCCTAAGAAGGTTTATTAGCTATCCTATTTCTGCCATAAATTTTAGAATGCCAATTCTTATGATGAGGAGTATTTTTAATCTAATTTAAATTTAATCCTGCATCAATGAAAATTAAACATTTATTAAACCATATGTTTATAACTGCCTTTCATGCTCAGTTGTGAATAATAACAAGTTAGTAAAACAAAATTAAATTAGTCAAATTTGATGATTTCAGTCTGTTCTATAATAGTTAGGAGATTGTTCCCAAGTCACTTGATATTGAGATCAGGCCAAAGATAAGCAGATTAAGGAGTATTTTAAGCTCCAAGACACTGTAAGTCGGGGCATCCTCTTAAGAACAGACATTTACTACTTTGTGCACAAGGTTCTATAAACAATCTTTGTTGAAATTTTCCTGTTATACAATGAAATATTGATTATATACGGTCAGTACAGATACACAAGGGTGTCTCCTGCCACTGATAAATTCTGGTGTCTGAAATTGTCATCATTAAAGTCCCTTCTATATGCTGGTCACTGTTTCTAAAGGTCCTTTGTCAGGAAGGGCATAAGCCCGTGGAAGAAGTAACAATTCAAAGATCTTAGCAACCTTTAATGTCATTGCGTTTTAATATATTATCTTGTTTTCATGGGCAAGTGATCAGGAAAGGGGAGAGATTCAGAAAGATATGACTTGGTGTAATTATAGAGTTGGGAATACTGAACACTCAGGACAATGAAGGATAGAGAACAAAAAGACTTGCCCTATTACAAGACAAACCAAAGTTTTAATAAGAATAAATCATGATGTAAAAAAAAAAAGGGGTAACTTCTCAAAGGCAAAAGTGGAACTTCTTTGCCTATAAATATGCTTCTCAAATTTAATGTGCTTACAAGTCACTTGAGGATATTTTTAAAATGCCAGTTCTGATTCAGAAAGTCTAGGGTGGGGCTAAAATTCAGCATTTCTAAATAGATCTCAGGTAGTGCTGATGCTGCTGGTCCCAGGACTACACTTGAGTACTGACGCAATACAAAATATTTAGTTAAATGTTCATTTTAGACAAGCATTTTGCCATATAATGAAGGGAAAGTTCCAACAGAGGACATTTATTACTGATTACTAGGATGTCCCAGTCATTGTGAATGCTTATTGATTGATGGACCACATCACCAAAGTGTTGTATCACATAACCTGGGAATAAAGAGCATTCATATTTGGGTTTACTCACTTATTGTTTAAGGCAGCAACACCAACTGTGCTTCTAGGAGTTGACATACTGGCCACATAATTCCACTGATGTCCCTCAGGGTCCCATCTTTCTACAGTATTTAGATAACTCCATCCATCATGACCACCAACAGCATACATTGGTCCTTCAAGTGTGGCTACACCTAGAAGATAAAAATAATATGAGGTCTCACAACATATAATGGTTTTTTTTTTTCATTTTGCAAACAACTGGCTGCTTAAAAATTGTTTTTGTTTCTTAAATAGTTTTGTGTATGCATTATAATTTACTAATCTTGATATGAAACTAAACATGGTCTCTTCACCCTAGGAAATTTTCAGGCATAGTTATTGTATCATACATAGTTATATACATAGTCGCTGTATCAGGCAGGTTATCATTGTTGTAATACTGAAGTTAATGGAGGTAGTGGAACACACCATTTCTAGGGATGTAATAGAAAGTGGAAACTATTTTTTAGCATAATTTCAACATCATTTTTTAAATATAAGAGATAGATGAAACATCTATACTGAATCTTAGGTAATTCTTAGGTTATTCATAGGTTACATAATTTGTAGGTTAAAACCATGGTAGGTCTTTTTAAGCCCTGATTTTTATTATAGTTATTTAAAAAAATTCCCATGTGATAACCAAATAAACAGGGATTTTTGAGGTTTAGTTAGAAATTTGTTTCTTGGGGCCCCTGGGTGGCTCAGTCATTAAGCGTCTGCCTTCAGCTCAGGTCATGATCCTTGGGTCCTGGGATTGAGCCCTGCATTGGGCTGCCTGCTCCACAGGAAGCCTGCTTCTCCCTCTCCCATTCCCCCTGCTTGTGTTCCCTCTCTCACTGCGTCTCTCTCTGTCAAAAAAAAAAATGTTACATTACATACCATGAATAACCCCTATCTAACTGCTTCTCTGGGAATTCACATAATTGGCCTTGCTCCCCACCTTCTTCACCATCTCAATTAGCATCTCAGTGGTATAACTTCAGCGTTTCTACCTTCTTAATAATACCAATTAGATTTTAAAAACTTGCTATGATTTCTCTGTAAGATAGTTTTCTAAGTAATGACACAACTGAGCTGAAAAATTATATAGTTTATCATTTGACATAGATAATTTTTAAGATGATTTGGGGAAAAGACAATATCAGTCCTGAACCTGACACTTTTTAGATGTGTAAATCAGTTTTTAAACAACTAAATTAAATTTAAAAAAATCAATGGAAACAAAATTTTTCTTGGAATATCTACTAAATAAAAAAGGTTTCTTGTGTATTGCTTTCAGATAGATTATGGGAAGAATTACGTCTCTGAATTGTTAAAGAGGTTAGCAATTGATTTAAGAAAATGCAAATGTTTAAAATAAAGGGAAAAATTAACACTCAAAAAATTTTAAAAAGCTATTATGCTTTTTAAACAATTCTAAGATATTAAAAATGTAATTCATCTAAAGAAAGATGTACCCTGACAAATATTCAGGAGAATCAATGTTCCCAACTGTTTCAGAAGTCTCCACCTCATCTTTCTTAAACTTCTTGGAAATCTCTAGCTTAAATATAATTTAAAGTTGCTCTCAATCAAAGCAGTTTTTTCTAAACATCTTTGCCTTGGAGCATCCCAAGCCTTTTGCTGAAATACAGATTTGCCTTTTATGGGAAGGGACAAAGTTCATCAGATTAGAAACATAATGTCTTTCCAACATCAAATGCTTTTTGTTTTTTCTAAATTAAGGTTAGATGAAAACTTCCTATTTTAGTTTTATGTTTTTCAATGATGTATTCTTTGCAAAACTTTTTATCCCTTTTAAAGTGGTACTTTTTTAAAATAAATTTGAAGGGAGGCAGAGTTAGCAAGTATGACATCTGAAATAAGAAAAAAAAGTTTCACAAGCTTTTACCATTTGATTCAGCTTTTCAGAGTTTTGGAGATGTTTTGACTAAGGGTTTGGTTAAATCCCAATAATGTGCACTCATGATGAGCACTGGGTGATGTATGAAGTTGTTGAATTGCTATATTGTACACTTGAAACTTATATAATATCGCATGCTAATTATACTGGAATTAAAATAAAATAAAATCTTAGTAATGTGCAGCAGTATTTAATTTTTAAAAAGATCTACTAATAATACATTTTTTAGAAACAATATAACATTAAGCTCTTACCTAAGCCATGCCTATGTGTTGACATGGGAGGCATCACAGTCCAGATTTTGCTAACTGGATTAAAACATTCCACAGTATTCAAAGTTTTTAAACCATCTCTTCCTCCCACGACATAGAGCTTATTATCAATAACTGCAACTCCAAACTGAAGCCTACGGCCATTCATGGTGCCAATATGTAGCCAGCTGTTGGTTCTGAGATCATATTTTTCAATTGTAGTGGTACCTTTTAAAGGGATATTAAACAATGGAAAAATTGCACATATAAAAATTTTAGTTGGCATCATCCACATTATATTTATATACCTATAATTTATAGCATAGAATCAATGATTGCAACTCAAATTAAAGTACCTAATGATTCCCTAACCTGGTTAATAAGGCATAGGTAATATTTTGCTACTACCAGATCCAAATGGAAGAGTCAGAATAAAACAGTTCATTTTAATATATATGGTTTGTATACTTGTAATGGTTTCTTTGGTTATACTATGTTACTATTAGTACTAACACACGTGTCAACATGATAATTTACAACAAAAATTACTTTGGAATCTATTACCAACTCTTTACACATCCATTATTATTTTAATTACCCTTGGTCATTCAATATATGAATTTGCGTCCTTTTATTTTATTCAGTTGTGTGTGTGTGTGTGTTGATTTAAAATACAAGTGACTAAAGAAACAGGAATGAAAATTTCTTTTAAATGGGCCTTTTGTGTTGATGCATACAATTTTCCATGATGGTAAAATGAAGGATTATAATTAAAATAGATTAAGATATTTATAATTATTTACTTTTTTTAGAGAATTTTTAAAAAAGATTTTATTTATTTATTTGACAGAGATCACAAATAGGCAGAAAGGCAGGCAGGGGCGGGGGGAAGCAGGCTCCCTGCTGAGCAGAGAGCACGATGTGGGGCTCTATCCCAGGACCCTGGGATCATGACCCGAGCCGAAAGCAGAGGTTTTAACCCACTGAGCCACCCAGGTGCCCCTAGATATTTATAATTATTTATTATATTTAGAGTTTAATTCTGAGATATTGCTTACTTTATGTGTTAATAAAAGTTAATTTTCTACTCAACTACTAAAATGTTAATTTTACTACCATAGTATACTGTCACTACTGCCATAGTAAATTGCCACTACTTCATAATAAATTGATAATTTTTGCATCCATGTTCATCAGTAATACTGACCTGCCGTTTTCTTTCTTAGTAGCATTTTTATCTGTTTTTTGTATCAGGATAATGCTAGCCTCATACAATAAATCAGAAAGTTTTTCTTCCTTTCCTATTTTTTAGAGTAGTTTGAGAAGAATAGGCATTATCTCTTCTTAAATGTTTGGCAGAATTACCACATGAAGGCATGCAGCCCTGGACTTCTGTTCACTGAGAGACATTGGATTACCGATTTAATTTCCATTGCTGGTTATTGGTCTATTCAAGTTTTCTATTTCTTCCTATTTTGGTTTTTGTAGTTTATGTTTCTCGGAACTTATCCATTTCTTCCAGGTTGTCCAATTTGTTGGCATATAATTTTTCATAATGTTCTTTTATAGTTATCCTGTGGTGTTGGCTGTTATTTCTCCTCTGTCATTTGTGATTTTATTTATTTGGTTCCTTTCTCTTTTGTTTTTGATAAGTCTGGCTAGAGGTTTATTAATTTTTTTTTTTCCAAGAACTAGAGAACTAGGAACTAGTTCTTTGGAAAAAATAACAAAATTGATAAACCTCTAGTATACACATAGAGTGTACTTAAGACCGCTTTTGGCAGATTTAGGGAATTTTGTCACAAATGCACAGAACCAACCATAGGAAAAAGCAAAAAAAAAATCAGTTGTTATTCTACTGGGCAATTTGTGGAGAAAATATAATTCACTAGTTATGATGAAAATATGTTTACATCTGAACTGTATCCATTGGCCAATTATAATGCTGTGGTATGAGATCATACCAAATCAAAATTTAAACAAAGTACATTGTATCTATGGCTACTTCTGAAAGTTTTTCTATGTATATTAGATTAGTGAAGACAGTGTCTATTTCTTTTCTGTAATTTTAGATCTTTTCTGATGAACAGTGCACTGTAAGTATTTATGTTTCAAGAGTTAGGATTTTCACAATAAAAACTTATGTATATAAAGATACTCATTATCCTTTCTCTTTAATCCCTCCATCTTCCACTGGTAAGATGGATTTTGCTGAATGCTGATTTACAGATCTACAAGTGCTCTATTTACTACATTTACTATTTACATCGCTTAGAAGAATATCTTTTCTACACTAAACATCTCTGAATGATCCTGTTAAAGTGGGAATAACTACAAAGAAACTCACATCAACTTTCACTCTGTCAACCAGCCTATTTCTTCTGAATGTTTTCAGATCTTTCCACGTCCTCATTCTAATATTCCCAAATTGGTCTTCCTATCCACTTCTTCCTAATTTAACTTTCTATTTCAAACTCTTTTCATTAGTGGAATTTACCAAAAAATGAATTCAGATAGGAAATGAAGACTAGACTGCTCTACTTACTCGAATTATAGAGATATTAATAGTGAAGTAGTCAGGAAATTGTACAAGGCTACAATAATCAAGTATGTACAGAAGATTTACACTGAAATAATGTAGAAGTCTGTTTTATGCCAAGTTAATTTTTTCTTCTGGGCATTAGATGAAATATAAAAGATTAATATATCTCACATCTCTTATTTTTGTCTACGAACATATATAACTGTTAGCTCTGTATCTTGAATTCTAAAGATTTCTTCAGCCCATTTACCTCCCTCCACTATTGCTTTAACTAATTAAAATGTAAATCCCCTAACTGAACTACAATGTCAGCTCTATATTTGATGGGAAAACTTAAATTAGATTTTTTTTTTAACTGATGTCTCTCCTTAGGACTCATTTTATGATGTTTCTGTGTATATAGATCTTCTTCCCTAAAACATGGCAAATATAGTTTCTCAATTCATCTCTAAGCTCCTATTCAACCTTCATTTATGACCAGGTTAAGAGGAAACAAAACAAACCTAAAGTTGTCATCTTGTTGGGGACATGAAAGTTCCTATACCTGTGAATATATTTGATTTAGCATCCTAAGTTGTTGGGTCACATCCTTATGAGGTTCAAACTGGAACAACTCCTAAATCAACATGAAGGGGCCCAAGGGTTACCCAGGACTTAAACTGCCCACTGCAGATTTCCCCACAAGAGGCCCAGATAAAATTGACAGTGGGAAATAAATTAATTGACTTTTTATTGGACAAAGTGTAATATATTTTTTATTAAAGCTATTCAAGTTTGATGGTTTAATTAAAGTATACATGTCTTTTGGAGTTATCATCATCAAATATAATACAGATAACTAGCTTTTATTCTACCTGAATGTATTAGTTAAATTCTTGTTGTAACTATTATAATTTGTCAACAAAATTACTTAAAATAATGATTGATTTTATCTAATGAAGTTTACATGGGTAATTGTTAAGAACAATTAGGTTGAATAGATAAAACAGTGTATAGATAAATTTTAAATAGCTTCCAAAATCTTTGGTAACCTGAAACTTTGAAGTTTTGCTAGGTTAAATAATAAACTGGGTAAATTTATTGGATGTCCAAGTCTTTACAAAATAAGATAAAATGTTAATGTTTTAACATTAATTACTAAATATATGTCTATCTGGTTTTTGCTTCTTATTACAGAAAACTAAATATACTTTGGTCTGCTAACTTTGCATAACTTTGCATAACTCTTAGAACCATCCCAGTATTTACTTTATTAAATTTTCAAACTCTTTTAGTGGAATTTACCAAAAAATGAATTCAGATAGGAAATGAAGACTAGACTGCTCTGCTTACTTGAATTAGAGATATTAATAGTGAAGTAGTCAGGAAATTGTACAAGGCTACAATAATCAAGTATGTACAGAAGATTTACACTGAAATAATGTAGAAGTCTGTTTTCTTTTATTACTTTATTAAATAATTTTGCTTTATTAAAAAGTTCTATAAAAATCACATTTCTACAAAATATAAAATATATTCATAAATTTGCCAATCTAAAAAATTCTGGTCTGATAGACCATTCACAACCTGTCACTACTTAGTTTTTACGGGAGAAAGATTTTAAGAGTTAAAATTCTGATACATGTATTTGAGACTGCTGGAAATGATAAGGAAAGCAAGCCTGTATATAGGAAAATAGGAGGTATGTAAGAAAGGTATAAGGAATAAAAATACATTTTTATTGAGGGAAAAAAAAGGTAATTTTTCCTAAAATGAAACTGGCTATATAGATATAAGAGTTATGACAAAATTTGAATTAAAAAAGCAGTTGTAGAAAGTTTATGAAGGGGAATCTTTGGGGAAAAATATTTATGGTTAGGACTCACTAAGATTGGAAAAAATGAATTTTAAAAGTACAGTGATATAAGATTGGAATTTGGTTCCAATTGGAAATTGGCTTAAATTTGTTAAAAAGACAAAATTTTCTTTTATTGTTCATCTACTCTTGATAAGAAATTATAAACAAAGTATTTTATCTTTATCTGCACAGAAAAACAAGGTTTCTATGTTTGTTTCTATTAGGTCTTTGGTGACCAAATCTTCTCAATATTAAAGGAGTTAAGTTTTGCTAACAACCAGGGAACCCTTTGTTTTTGCCTTTGGGATCTATTATTGTTAGCTCAGTTAAGTAAATAATAAAATATTAAATTTTATAGTGATCTATGATCTTATTTAGGCATATGGTTTAGAATCTTCTAAGCTTCTTAACAAACTTCGTAAAAATTCAAATTCTAAATAAGTCTTTTTGATTTATTAGGCTTGTTTATTGGGTATGTTAAGTTACATTGGAAGCATTGTCAAACAAAAAATAATTATTTTGTTAGATTATATCATGTGGGTAAATACTGGGATGGTTCTAAGAGTTATGCAAAATTCCTAAAGTTTTAGTATGTCTTGACATAATGCCATAAGTCTAGTTATTAAAATGTTGTGCATCAAAGAAATTACTGCATCTCCTTGTCAACTACATTATATTAAACTCTTATCAGATTTTCAAACATGGCCATTTTTGAGTCTTTTGTCACTTGCAGTTATTCTGATGCTCTTGTGAGATGCATTTCAGCTTCAAGGAGATTCATGAAAAGGACTTTTGACAGATGCAGGTCTGATACTTTTAAGATCATAAAACTAAACTAAGAATTTCCAGAACTAATGGAAAAACTGAATTCCAACAGAACAAGAATTAATAACATCGGACTAGGTAATTTTAAAAGATGATTATATTTTTATAATTCTTATTTAAATCATTGATGTTTCTCTAACATTTGCTCTTCCAAATTTAAGGAAACTTTTTTCTCTTAAGATATCTATGACTTACAGAAATGTTATAAAAATATTATTTTGTGGGAACACCCAGGAGACTCAGTTGGTTAAGTGTCTGCCTTCAGCTCAGGTCATAATCCCAAGGTCCTGGAATCCAGTCCAGCATTATGCTCCTTGCTCAGTGGGGAACCTACTTTTCCCTCTTCCTACCCCTCCCCCTGCTTGTGCTTTCTATCTCTCTCTTTCTCTCTGACAAATAAATAAATAAAATCTTGTAAAAATATTATTTTGTAAACACACTGAAGTATTTATTTTTCTCCCTACCTGATCCTTGAGGAATTTGGAAACTCCCAATGAGTTTCTTTCTGTGATGGCAATTATCATCATTTGCAAAAATTCAATGAAAATGGATACTCCTTATAACAAGAGACCATTGGAAACAGTGGTTATTTTACCAAGGCTTTAAGTGGAATGTCATATTTATGAAAGACATACATAGACTCAGATATAATCAGACAGCTTTAAGGAACTAAAGTTGAATGAATGGAGTTAATAAAGCCCCTTGAAAATGTTGGCCTAACACCTTGTTTACAGAGTTCCCACCAACCTTACCATGTGAGTAAAAAATGTCAGTTCCTGAAAGGTGCAGGAACCTCAAGATATTTCAGGTACTTCAGGAAGAGAAGAATTCACCCAAAGCTACAGGTATTGCAGGCAAATCTGATGGCAAGTATTTGACCTGCCATCTGGCCTTCAGAGGCTATTGAAAGTTTAATCTAAAATTTATTATAAAAACTCTGGCAAAGTAGGTTTAAAACAATCTCTATTGTCAATCACTATTCTTGCTGTACTGATATAAATAATTATGTAAAAATTAATTAAATTTATTAAAACTAAACTTATCTTAGAAAATATCAGTCTTAATTTGGCTATCTTTGACAAGATTGAAGGTGACTTTAGAGAAAAATATTACAGTTAAGTAACACAGCTTCATGGATATTAGAGTCTTGTCTTGATTATCTTTGAGTGTTTGTTGTTTGCTTATAAAACTTGGCTGGATCTAGATTCTTCTGGTTTCCTCTAATACATTGCTATGACTCTCCTAAATAAACTCAGAAAGAATGAATACCCACCATTTGCATCAACATGTGTGGAACTGGAGGAGATTTTTCTAAGTGAAATAAGTCAAGCAGAGAAAAACAACTATCATATGGTGTCACTTATATGTGGAATATAAGGAATAACATGGAGGATGTTAGGAGAAGGAAGGGAAAAATGAAGAGGGGGAAATAAGAGGGGGAGATAAACCATGAGAAACTATGCACTCCGGGAAACAAACTGAGGGTTTTAGAAGGGAGGGGATTGGGGTATGGGTGAGCCTGGTGATGGGTATTAAGGAAGGCATGGATTTAATGGAGCACAGGGTGTCATATTCAAATGATGAATCATGGAACTCTACATCAAAAAGTAATGATGTACTGTACGGTGACTAACATAACATAATAAAAATAAATAAATAACAAAACGGCCCTTTTTCTTGAAACCTTGCAAATTGAAGCTAGACAACTCAAAAGAAAGTTCAGAGAAACTGCCAAAATAGCTCATATATAGACAATCTTCATGCCTGTTGCTCTATGAGCCCCTCAAAGAGTCACTGGAGACATTTAAACTACAAACCATAAAAATCCATCAGATTGCCAGTTCCTACTTCCACTTCATCTGAGGATGCTTTGAGCCTGACATCTAAAAATCTTCTCTTTGGGAACATTTGGATCTCAGATAGTTGGTTTATAATTTACTCCAAACATTAACCTTTTTTTGTTTGCTTGTTTGTTTCCATTGACACTGGGGAGGGTATGTGTTGTGATGAGCACTGTGTATGGTGTAAGACTGATAAATCACAAACCTGCACCCCTGAAACAAATAATACATTATATGTTAATAATAAAAAAAATACACCAACCTCAGTAATAAAATATATAGCTTACATACATTTGTATTGCTATGCATTCAATGTGTAGTTGCTATTAAAACTACTCAGATAAAATACATCTGAAGGTAGAAAAAAATAAATGCCTCTTGTTAATTACCTTATTGCTTGCTGAACAAAGCAGAATCTATATAATAGCTAACACCACTTGCTGTATCTATATTAACTCATCCTTGGAAGTAAGAACCCAGAGAGACAAAATCAGGCAGCAAGCCACATGGCTGCACAGGCCTTTGCCCACAAGTTCCATTTTTCCAGGGTGGCTAGGACGGGATTACTGATCTATTCTTTTTGATACTGATCCATTCTCTTGGTATCAGGTCAATTTTAGAGGGAATGATAAAATTGAGCTTAACTATACTGTTATTATTCCTTAGGCTATACTTGGGGAGAAAGTTAATGAGGCCAAGCAGTGCCAAACAATGTAGTAAAATGAGATAAGAAACTACCTCTGATACCCCGCCACGAGAACAAGGGACCAAAATCTATGTCCTGTACCATGTCAAATACTTCCATTCCAGAGCCCATAGTCTGCCCTAATTCAGCATGAAGCAGTTACAGAAGATGGACCTCTACATACTTTCCACAGAAATGGAATGTAGGACTGACAATGGGGATTTGTAACAGCACTCCAACTGGTATAAGGGTTAACTTACTTCAAGCTTACACAGTCATTTGTTGATCTAAGCCCCTTCGTTTTTAATAGAATTAACCTACTTCCCTTGAGATTTTGCAGACCATTGGCCTTAGAGAATGAAGGACCAGACAATCCCAAAAGACAAGGCCCGACCACATTTGAGAACAGCTGTCACTGATGCCAGCAAGTCTGTTCAAGTTCATGTTGGCATATGATTAACTCTCTGAGCACCACATTCTGCACATAGCCCCTACCATTCCCCAAACCTTCTCCTTTAAAAACCCTCTGATTTCTTCTATACTGGGTAGATGGTCTTTGAGACATTAGTTCACCATCTTCCCAAGTTGCTGACTTTCTGAATAAAGTAACATTTCTTTTCCCACCATTACTTGTCTCTTGAGTATTGATTTTCACATGGCAAGCAGATGAACCCCAGTTTGGAACGAGTTTTCCATCCTGTAACATCAGCATTTCAAGATTCTTTGGAGCTTGACAGGCCCCTCTTCTGTTGAAAAACACATACGCTTTTTTAATATATATACAAATTTTCTAAACCCTTCTATTTATGATAAACCTTAGGTAAGTTTACCCTGAAAACATCTTATATTATAAAGTAAATTCTCTAATTTAAAAATTGTTGCCATAAAATAAAAGTAACTGTTAAGAGCTTAGCTAACACTAATTAAATGTTTATATCCCATAAAGTAAGAAAAAATGGCAAAATTACATAAAGTGTGCTATTTATTAAAATTAGCTTTAGTAGCACAAAATTAAATATGGATTTAATGCCACCTTCATAATTTGGGGGGTGTTGAGAATATCCTTTTTTTGAATGATACTTTCTAAATTAATCATTCCTGTTACCTTTCACAGCATCCATGCCTCCCACAGCATAAAGTGCCCCCACAGTTGATTTTCTAGGCTTTGTCCGAGGGCTTTGCATCATAGGTCTTCTCTCAGGTAAGAGATGGTACTTCATAGCTTCCATTAGGAGCTTCTGACACTCAAGATTACCAGTAAACATGGAGCTATTTTCAAGATCCACCAGTAACTGAAAAGTAATGATGTATGGTATATGAAGTAAATAACCCCACATGAAAAATAATATATTTTTGCTTATATAACTTTGGAGAAAACTTGAGCTAATTCAGATGTAAAAGTGTTAGTATTTTAAGTTACTTAGTAATATATTTTTATGTTCACTTAAGATTTAAAATGATTAAAGATCTCATAGTAGTACCTACTGATCTGTTCAGATTTATTTGACATATTAAACATCTTTTGAATAGATACGCATGTACTATCAAGAAGTGAAAGTGAAAAGACACTTATAAAATGGGTTATTGAAAGCAGTCTAAGAGACTAGCTATGTCTACACAAAGCAAGCATCTTGCAGTCTACTGCATGTAGCTAAATAAGCAGCCACCTTATTGGTGGATTTAGAGAAGTTGGTACAAACATGCCCAGTTAAAATAAAGTAATATCACCCATAAAGAATTGCATCTTTATCATCAAATCACTTCTGTAAAATATTCTGAAAGTAGATTCTTTTTATTTATACATATATATGTGTATATCAGTAAAGCATATGTGTTAGTAGGTAGCCAAAACATCAGCAGTAGTATGTATCAATCCTTTCTAACCATCACTGCCTGGCAGACACTAAGACCCTCATTGAATTGGATAAAAGCTAAGTAAAATATTTTTGTTGAGGTGAGCCGAGGAAATGTGAAGAACTTGTTTCAGAATTTTACCAAGAGTCATTTATATTGGTTCACTGGAGTTTTGGGTCTACAGTATCAAAGGACATTGAGAGGAATTGCAGTTTGGCGTAGAAATGCTAATTTCACCCCATAAAACTTCCCTGAAGTTTTTCATTCTGCAGTACTTAACCCCAGCTTAGTTCTCATCCGACCTGTAATCTCTTATAGATCACTATTTTGACTTGGCTGGTGAGACCTCTGGTATTTCCTTAATGCATATGCTGCTGAAAATAAGTTTAAAAAACTGGACTATGTAACTTAGTTTCAAAATATTCTTCAGGGATTTACCACCATTTTTTTCCATATATTTCATTTCTAGAATATTTTTTAAAGTAACTATTAAAATTGTTTTAGAAATTCTATAATCTGTATTATATTACCCACCACTACCATCATTAGGGAAAGTTCACAACATTCCAGATTTTAGGCATAAGGGATACTCAGGAGTGGAAGGCCAAAGACCATCGGTTGTGTGTTTGGGCTAGAAATTTCTCCTTATTCGAGTAAAGTAAGACAAGTCCAAACTAAGCAGTTTAAAGACAAACATATAGACAAAACAGTATAAAGTTAAGGGCCTCCAATCCATTATACCAATGCATCTCAACTTTTTTCATATCTAAGAATCCTCTGGTAAATTTATTAAGATATGGATTCCTTGGCCTCACTCCCATAAATTGTTTCAGTAGGTCTATGGTGAGGGCTTGGGAAACTGGGTTTCTAATAAGCTCTCAGGAAATGCTATGTTGCTAGCTCAGGGCTATTTTGAGTAGCACTGTCTTAGAGAATCTAATAAATCATATGGACCCTTTCATGAAAATAACACATGTAAGAATAACACATGTGCACACATACACACAAACATAAAATTTCCAAAGATTCTGAACCTTGGGTCTAAAATTACATGTATATTTTAATGTTTCTATTTTAGTGTTACTCTTGCCTTGCCTTGTATAAATTTGCTATACCCGAGAAGGCAGTGTTCTTTCATTGCATATGGATAAATTCTTAAGAGCAAATATGTAGTAGCTCCATGGATTTAATTAACAGATAAAAGTTTTTAAAAAGTAGAGAAATCATCAGTAAATTAATATTCTATTTTTCAATATTAACATCTAATTAGTAATTTGTTGAAACTTGACTAATTTTAATGTTAATGAAACTACTGATCCACTAGATCTAGATGAAGCTCCTCCTTCCAATATGGATGAGTAACCAGCTTGCCTAGAAGGTCGGCAGAAAAAGAAAAAAAAAGCCTAGTCATTTACTCTGCTTCTTACAAATGATGTTTGGTAAAGAAGAAATTGAAATTAAAGAATATGTTTTAGAGATTATCTCTAGAATTTTTAAGGATGATCTATAGCTTTTTTTATAGATTTTTTAAAAATATTTCTCTCTGCATCATAAATAGTGTTAATTGAAGGCTGGATAAGTCCTTCTGTGAGACAAGTACCATACACTCCAGTTAACAGAAATCCTCTGAATAAAATAAAATTAGACAAAAAAGGAATGGATTAATGTCTAGTGGTAGTTTAGAACTATGTGTTACCTGGGTAAATTTCCATACCTGTGGTGGAAGTAATGGCAGTCTGATATAAGAAAGCAACATTGCTAGGTATTGTTGCCTAGCCTGCACATCGTATCCCACCCACTGCATTAAAGCGTGGAAAATTGTTTCTTCATCAGGGACATTAATGTCATCACTGCACAGAAGTTTTGAAATTTCATTAGCTGGAAGCAGGAGGAATTCTTGGTTCTTTATTACCTCAATGAAGTGTTCCTAGAAAAGAAAGGTCTTCTACTGAAACTTTGCACTTTAGAAATGTCTTAACAAAATAAGCATATGAAAACACTTTATTAAAATTCATAAAAGAGGGGCGCCTGGGTGGCTCAGTGGGTTAAAGCCTCTGCCTTCAGCTCAGGTCATGATCCCAGAGTCCTGGGATCGAGCCCCGCATTGGGCTCTCTGCTCAGCGGGGAGCCTGCTTCCTCCTCTCTCTCTGCCTGCCTCTCTGCCTATTTGTGATCTCTCCATCAAATAAATAAATAAATAAATAAATAAATAAATAGAATTATTTTAAAAATTCATGAAAGACAGTAAGGACAGATACATGCATTTATAACAAATAGGTGCCATTACTGTCTGTGACAGAGGACATGGGGAGTCTTCTTTTTTTACTATGAAAAATTTTGAAAACGATAATTGTGTTGTCATAGAAAAATATGCAACATTATAAGTAAAAATACATAGTGATGTTTTGATGAAAAAATTTGAAACACAGCTGCCTGAAATTTGATACTTGATAGAATTTAACATTGTGACAGAAGAGACAATTAAGGAATAATATATAAAAATTGCAAGACTACACCATTCACCCCCTCCCCCCAAAAAACTCCATAGGAGTCCCTTTTAGATTGTCCTAAATCTGTGTAGTATTCATTGTAAAATACACGTTTGCCTTGGTTGGTTAATAGATCATGCTTTTCCATAAGAGAAAAGAGTTTTTCATCAATCTGTTTGTTCCAATGCAAAGGAATTCAGTATGTTGTCCCCTCAAATGCACAAGTGGAGCTATCTCTCCCAGGTCTTCAAGGTAGACTCCACCTTGAAAATTTCCACCTTTCCTCTTAATATTTTTGGCTAAAGACCAACTCAATGTCAGTCACTTCTGGAATCATAAGCTGCTGCCACCTATAATAGCTAGGAAAGAAAAACATTTGTATCAACTCAGACACTACCCGTGTTAAGTAAAAAAAAAAAAAAATAAGTCATTACCAATCTGATCTTGTAGGTGGTGAAATTATTCTGATGAGAAAATTGGCTATGTGAATTGTTTTGTCTCCTGTGCAATAAATGGCGAAGTACAGACTCAAACCTAAGTCTTCAGGTCTATTCCATTTTGCTCAACACCTCAGCTGCATTCCATAAGTGACATAATTTTTATGACTGGGTTAAGAAAAAGATAAAATTCTAAAAATGTATGGTTACCCATTACTGGTAGTGTATGCAAGCTCTGAGAGTTTATATCATTATGTCAATATGATGGAAGACCTTGTATCTCATTTGCCTTTCTATCTACTCCCCAATGAAAGAAAAGAAAAATAGAAAGTAAATGAGAGAAAGAGGGAGAGATTGGCCCAGTTTGTTAAAAAAATACTCAATGGCTAATGTGGATCATAGAGAAATCAATCAAATTTCGTTATGCATTAAAAGTTAGGAATGATTCCAATAGTTTATATGATGGTTATATTTTTAGTGACAAATTAGAGATTACAACAGAATTTGTTATGGTTCCAGAGTAACTTCCTGATGAGACTACTGAAAATTGTTTGGCAATATAGTAACTTAGTCTAAATAAAAAAATATATATATTGATTTGAAGTATCTACATAAGGCACAGCAATATCCAGTACTGTAGAGAAATATTTAGTTAACCTAGAAGATTAATTTTAAATTATTTTATTTTGGAATTATTTTATTTCTTTTTTTTAATTTATTTATTTGACAGAGATATCACAAGTAGGCGGTGAGGCAGGCAGAGAGAAAAAGGAGGAAGCAGGCTCCCTGCTGAGCAGAGAGCCCGACGAGGGGCTCAATCCCAGGCCTGGGATCATGACCTGAGCTGAAGGCAGAGGCTTTAACCCACTGAGCCACCCAGGAACCCCTATTTTATTTCTAATTTCAAGAAAAACACTTTCTTCTCTATACTTTTCCAAGAGGTTTGATATTCATTTTTTTTAATCCCCATGCACTTTGTTGTAAAAGTTGCTAGATGAATATAACATACTTGCTAAGTGTTTCATCAGTGCAGACTACTGTTTATAGAATTACGATGGCTAACTTAATGTGTTAACTTATCCTTGGAGTCTAAAGTTTGGATCAAACATTATTCTGGGTGTATCTGTGAGGATGTTTCTGAATGAAGCCCATTCACATTAGGGAGGGCTACCTGTTTTACACAGTCTATGATTCAAATGTTTGTAATTGAGTCTTGAGAGTTTAATATTATTCTTAAACATTAACATTATTTGTGTTTTTACAATATCAATACAGTATTACAAAAAACTATTATAGCAAGACTTTTTGGCTACTTTTGTTTATTTATAGTAGATACTAAAATAACTAAAAAAAGCAATAATATGTTTTTTGCACATCCTGCTTAACACTCAGTTTCAGTCACATAATAAGAAAAGGAAGACAATTTCTTTTTGAGCAACAAAAATAATTCAAGCTGTTTATCAGGATGTGTTTTGACTGTGAGAGTAAGATAACAGACAGGAAACTTAATACTTAGTTTAAGAATATAAGTAAATTAACAGGTAGTTTTCAAGTTTGGCTTTTGTGGTAGGATTAAACTTTGAACTATGTAACTGATGTTCCTATAGACTATGTGGTAACTGTATTTAGCATATAGGAATATAAATAGTATAATTTAATAACATATATTAAACAGTCCATCAATTATAATATAATTCTCCCCATAATGCTACAGTTTCAGGACTCTGTTTGAAACTTCAAATTTTGAATAATGACCAGGGATGGGAAAAAGAGAAAGAACATTTTACCAAGCAAATTTAGAGAATTAAAATATAGAAAGATGAAAAATTTAAGATCTGTATTAAATGTTAACAAAATAATGTTTATGTACCTCTCAATATTAAACTCATAATGTTAATTTTATTTTTAGATGTTAAATTTTCTATTGTTTTATGTACTTGCCTTTTTATTTTTTAATCTTAAATAACTGTAACAATTGTCTTAGTTTGAAATATTTATCTTTTTGATTGGGTTTCACAGAAAGATCCACCTCATATTTTCCCTGCTTCAGAAGTTCAAAAGTTCATTTTTTTCTTTGCATCACAGAATTATTAGTATTAATGTAATTTAATATCCTCTAACTACTTTTTCTTGCATCCTTACAGACAATCTGTATTTCATGTCACTGTCACTTGATTGACTAAAGATAGTCTTATCCTATGCAACTTTTAAAGAATAGTCACATACAAACATGTTCAGTTAATTTATTAAAATTACTTATAGAATTGAGAAGGATTTTAAGTTAGTCAAGTTTAAAGGATTGAACTGCAAGTTGTTTTTAACGAAAATAGGTACTTTTATTAAGACATAAAATATACATTCAGTAGAATTGGCTGATTTTTATAGTTCTTAAGCTCTTCCAGTTAATATTGATATATTAATTAGTTTTTAATTAATTTTTGAATGTTACTTAACTTTAATTAAAAATCATAATGTATATAATTTTAGAAATTAAAGTTCTAATGTTACAAAAATCAGGGACAAAGAAACAAATAATCTGATTAAAGAATGAGCAGAAGACATGAACAGACATTTTTCTAAAGAAGACAAACAGATGGTCAACAGACACATGGGAAGATGCTCAACATCATTCAACATCAGAAAAATACAAATGAAATCTACAATGAGATATCATCTCACATCAATCAGAATGGTTAAAACTAACAGCACAAGAAACAGAAGATGTTGGTGAGGATGTGGAGAGAGGCGAAACATCTTACATTGTTGTTGGAAATGTGAACTGGTGCAGCCATTCTAGAAAACAGGATGGAGTTTCCTCAGAAAGTTAAAAATAGGACAGCCCTATCATCCAGCGATTGCACTACTAGGTATTTATCTAAATAATACAAAAATACTAATTTGAAGCGATACATTCACCCTGATGCTTATAGCAATATTATCAACAATTGCCAAATTATGAAAGAACCCAAATGTCCATCAGCTGATGAATGGATAAAGAAGAAATGGTATATATATATACAATGAAATATTATTCAGCCATCAAAAAGAACGAAATCTTGCTATTTGCAACAATATAGATGGAGCTACAGAGTAGTATGTTAAGCAAAATAAGTCAGTTAGAAAAAGACATATACCATATGATTTCACTCATATGTGGAATTTAAGAAACAAATGATCAAGGTGGGGGGAAGAGAGGCAAGCCAAGAAACAGACTCTTAACTATAGAGAACAAACTGATGGGTACCAGAGGGGAGGGAGGTGGGGGGATGGGTTAAACAGGTGATGGGGATTAAGGAGTGCACTTGTAATGAGTACCAAGTGTTGTATGTACATGTTGAATCACCAAATTGTGCACCTGAAACTAATAGTGCACTGTATGCTAACTCGCTGGAATGTAAATAAAAGCTTAAAATAAATCAGGGACAATATATTTTCCTAATACTGTGGATTTGACTTAAAATATATTTTTATATGATTTTTTTTGTGGTATGTTCATTTCTCCACGTTTTGAGATTTAATTAAACATTTTCAGTTAAAAAAAATGAGAAACTTGCTTGAGTACAGCTCAACCAAATATTTTTATCTAATATCCATTATGTGTAAGTCATTTGCAAATTATATGAATTTATATTGCTTTTTAGTTTTATCCCAACATTATGGTCTTTACTTTAGAAAGGTTGCATATATATACATAGATATAGATATATATCTACACACACACACACACACACACACACCCATACATTATATTTTTATATATAATATACACACACACACATGCATATGTACACATATATATCAGTAAACAAATCAGTAAGCTACATATAGTGTCAATATAATATTACTACAGGTTAATTTGAAGCAATTGATTTTACCATTGTGTATTTATGTGCCACACTCAGGAGCTCTGTACAGCCCTGGGCATCACCAAATGATCGAATTCCTAAGCAGTTTGAAGGATGGAGATGCTTTATGAGAAAATTGGAGCAGACTTCAATGACTTGAGTCAATTGCAAGAGACAAGCTGCAGCCAGCAAATTTTCAATAGTATCTTCTTTTAACTGCAGGACACCTAGATGGTTTGAAAAAGTGAAGAATGATTATATGTCTCATAAAGTAAGACACAAATGTGCTAACTAGTTGAATTTTTCAATTTCTCTCATTACTAAGGCTACCTTTCCTAGTGCACAGTAACCACTATGGGAATACTTTTAAAAGCCACTATATGTGGGACACCTGGGTGGCTCCGTCAGTTAAGCTGCTGCCTTTGGCTCAGGTCATGATCCCAGGGTCCTAAGATTGAGTCCCGCATCAGGCTTCTTGCTCGGTGGGGAGCCTGCTTCTCTCTCTGTCTTTGCCTGCCACTCTGCCTGCTTGTGCTCTCTCTCTCTCTCTGACGAATAAATAAATAAAATCTTTAAAAAAAAGCCAATATATGCAAGTGTGTCTGTAAAAACACTAAGATGGCTGAAGGTTGCCAGACTAGATTATCAAACACAACTGTAGCAAATGAACAGTGAACACCACTACTGCAAAGAACAGCAACTTATTTCTTTGTCATCGTAGATCTCATCTAACTCTTATATCAATCATTGAACACGATATCTGAAACTAATGATGTACTATATGTTGGCTAATTGAATTTAAATAAAAAAGAAAGAAAAAATCCACAATTCTTTCACCTAAATAAATAGATAAATAAATAAATCTTATATAAAAAACTGTAAACACTAGGTCTCAAGGAGTATTTTATCATATTGTATAATGCCCATACAGGTAACTATCATTTGTATGGAAAAAAATTTGGTAATTAAGTAGAGCATTGAGGTTATATGTCTATATTTTTGTGTGTCTGTCTGCATTTATTTGCTGATAAGGAAGACTTCGCTCAGATATTGTGCCTAGAACTGACACCTGACATTCTCTCAAAAGAAAAATAACATTGCTGACAGTACTCAAACAAATGTTTGTATGATAATTTTCTTAGATACAAAAAACTGGTTTGTTTCAAAATATCTGTGAAGATATTTGTGAAGTTATTGCAAATGTAAGTTATTTTCATAAGTTATATTCCTTTTTTGTTTGTTTTAGCCAAACTATATGTAAGCTATAAAAAACATTTCATATGGAATACTATAAACTATTTGTTTATATTTTTCTTGTAAAATACCTTAAATGGATTCCATATGATTTCATAAGCATAAAGAAAAGAGTAAATATTTACTGTCAGATGCTCTGTATTTGTTTCAACCTCTAAAATATGTTGCCAAAGGGTGTCATCCATCACCAGAATTTCTTGAGTTGTTTGTTTTTTGTCATGGATTTTGAAGGGAGAGCCCTGCCCATACCTCATGCAATCCAGAGAAGTTATAAACTATTCTGATTCAGATCAAAGATTCACCTACTACAGACATCGAAACTTGGCCCAGTTATTAAGAAGAATATTAATTTCTTAATGAACAAAATCATAAAACTCCTAAAAGAAGACAGTAAAAAAAATTTGTCTTGGCAATAATTTCTTGGATAATACACCAAAAGACAGGCCACAAAAGCTAAAATAAACAAGTGGGACTACATCAAACTAAAAAGCTTCTGCATAGAAAGGAAATATAAAATATATTGAAAAGGTAATCCACAGAATGAGAGAAATATTGCAAACCATATATCTAAGGGGTTAATATCCAAAATATATAAAGGACTCATATAGTTCAATAGCATGAAAGCAAATAACGCAATTAAAAAAAAGAACAATTAGGGGGACCTGGGTGGCTCAGTTGGTTAAGTGTTTGCTTTTTGCTCAGGTCATTGCCCTGGGATCCAGTTGCTGATCCTTGCTCAGCAGCAAGTCTGTGTCTGTGTCTCCTTCTGCTCCCCACCTCATGCCCTCCTTTCCCCTCCCTCAAATAAATAAATAAAATCTTTAAAAAATAAATAAAAATTCAAAAAGAGAAAGTAACCTGGATAAGCTTATTCTTCCCCAGAGATGACATACAAATGACCAATAGAGATATGAAAATTGTTTAACATCACTAATTACCAGGAAAATGTAAATCAAAATCAAAAGAAAGGATAACCAATATTGGTGAAGTTTTAGAGGAAAGGGAACATTTATGTACTGTTTGTGGGAAACTAAATTAATAACATTATGGAGAACAGTATGGTGGCTTATGAAAAAATTAGAAAATTAAATTACCATATGATCCAACAATTTATTCCTGATTATATATACAAAGACATGAAATCAGGATCTTAAGAGATATCTGCACTCCCATGTTTGTTGCACTATTTTTTACAGTAGCTAGGATATGGAAATAACCAACCTAAATGCCCTTCAACAGTTGAATGGATAAGGAGAAAAAAAATATGTATGTGATATTAATAATAGGTATACATGTATATAATTTCTCTGATTTCATAGAAATGGTAGTTAGATTGGTAGTTGCTAGACACTGGGAGGTGGAAATGGGGAGGTGTAGGTCAAAGGGTGCAAACTTTAAGTTATAAGATAAATAGTTACAATGATCTAATGTACAGAATGGTGTCTATAGTTAGTAATATGGTACTGGGCACTGTATCCTTGAAAATCTTTGAGAGTATATCTTAAGCATTCTCACCACAAAAAATAATTAACTATTTGAGATAATGTGTGCATTACTTATCTTCATACATGTAATCATCCTTTTTGTGTATATATAGCAAATCATCACATAGTATACTTTAAATATACACAATTATATTTGTCAATTTTTGCTTAATAAAGTTGGAATACAGAAATAATTTCACTTCTTGACCTCCAATCTCATCCTGTTACCTTTGCCTTATAATTTGAGTAAATATGACTTTGCTATTTCTAAGGAAGAGACTACATTTCTAATACAGAGTTAGAATACTGCACTTCAAATTTTTACAAATGAGAATGGGGTACCTAGGTGGCTCATTTGGTTAAATGTCAAACTCTTGATTTCAGGTCATGATCTCTCCATCTTAGGACCAAGCCCTGCATCAGGCTCCAAGTGCTGAACATGGAGACTGCTTGAGATTCTCTCTCCCTCTCATTCAGCCCCTCCCCCCACACACTCAATAAATGAATAAATAAAATCTTTTTTTAAAAAATGAGAACATACCCACACCATTCAAGAGAGAGGCAGACATGTATTTTGTCATTTTTGTTAAAATAGCTTTATTCTCTCATGGTCAAAAATTTTATAGCTTATTATTTCCCTCATTCATTTATACTAATGAATTTAAATTCTGATTCTGTCAGTTACTACCTTGGGAAAGTTACTTCACTGGTAGATCCTTCAGTTTTCTCATTTCTAGTTGGAATAATAATAATGTAGATTATATTATGTAGGATTTTTGTGAGGATTGAATGACTTAATACATGCCACTTTACCTGTGTAAGCATAATACCTATTCTCCTGAAGCTGTTTCAAAAAATTGAAGCAGAAGGAAAACTTCCAGACTCTTTCTATGAAGCCAGCATTACTCTGATCCCCAAACCAGGCAAAGACCCCACCAGAAAGGAGAATTTCAGACCAATATCACTGATGAATATGGATGCCAAGATTCTCAACAAGATCCTAGGATACAGGATCCAACAGCACATTAAAAAGATTATCCACCATGACCAGGTGGGATTCATCCCTGGGTTACAAGGATGTTTCAACATTCGCAAATCAATCAATGTGATAGAACAAATCAATAAGAGAAGAAAGAACCACATGGTCCTCTCAATTGATGCAGAAAAAGCATTTGACAAAATCCAGCATCTGTTCCTGATTAAAATGCTTCAAAGTATAGGGATAGAGGGAACATTCCAGAACTTCATAAAATCTATCTATGAAAGACCCACAGCAAATATCATCCTCAATGGGAAAAAGCTTGCAGCCTTCCCATTGAGATCAGGAACACGACAAGGATGCTCACTCTCACCACTCTTGTTCAACATAGTATTAGAAGTCCTAGCAACAGCAATCAGACAACAAAGAGAAATAAAAGGTATCCACATTGGCAGTGAAAAAGTCAAACTCTCTCTCTTTGCAGATGACATGATTCTTTATATGGAAAACCCAAAAGACTCCACCCCCAAACTACTAGAACTCATACAGCAATTCAGTAACGTGGCAGGATACAGAGTCAATGTACAGAAATCAGTGGCTTTCTTATACACTAACAATGAAAATAAGGAAAGGGAAATTAGAGAATCGATTCCATTTACTATAGCACCAAGAACCATAAGATACCTGGGAATAATCCTAACCAAAGAGGTAAAGGAACTGTACTCGAGGAACTACAGAACACTCATGAAAGGAACTGAAGAAGACACAAAAAGATGGAAGACCATTCCATGCTCTTGGATCGGAAGAATACATATTGTTAAAATGTCTATACTGCCTACAGCAATCTATACTTTTAATGCCATTCTGCTCAAAATTCCACTGGTATTTTTCAAAGAGCTGGAGCAAATAATCCTAAAATTTGTATGGAATCAGAAAAGACCCCGAATTGCTGAGGAAATGTTGAAAAACAAAAATAAAACTGGCGGCATCACGTAACCTGACTTCAAGCTTTACTACAAAGCTGTGATCACCAAGACAGCATGGCACTGGCATAAAAACAGACACATAGACCAGTGGAACAGAGTAGAGAGCCCAGATATGGACCCTCAACTCTATGGTCAAATAATCTTCGACAAAGTAGGAAAAAATATACAATGGAAAAAAGTCTCTTCAATAAATGGTGCTGTGAAAACTGGACAGCTATATGTAGAAAAATGAAACCCGACCATTCCTTTACACCGTACACAAAGATGAACTCGAAATGTATAAAAGACCTCAGTGTGAGACAGGAATCCATCAGAATCCTAGAGGAGAACATAGGCAATAACCTCTTTGATATCAGCCACAGCAACTTCTTTCCAGATATGTCTCCAAAGGCAAAGGAAACAAAAGTGAAAACGAACTTTTGGGACTTCATCAAGATCAAAAGCTTCTGCACAGCAAAGGAAACAATCAACAAAACAAAGAGGCAACCCACGGAATGGGAGAAGATATTTGCAAATGACAGTACAGACAAGAGGCTGATATCCAGGATCTATAAAGAACTCCTCAAACTCAACACACACAAAACAGATAATCATGTCAAAAATGGGCAGAAGATATGAACAGACACTTCTCCAATGAAGACATACAAATGGCTATCAGACACATGAAAAAATGTTCATCATCACTAGCCATCAGGGAGATTCAAATTAAAACCACATTGAGATACCACCTTACACCAGTTAGAATATCCAAAATTAGCAATACAGGAAAGAACGTGTGTTGGAGAGAATGTGGAGAAAGGGGAACCCTCTTACACTGTTGGTGGGAATGCAAGTTGGTGCAGCCACTTTGGAGAACAGTGTAGAGATTCTTTAAGAAATTAAAAATAGTGCTCCCCTATGACTCTGCAATTGTACTACTGGGTATTTACCCCAAAGATACAGATGTAGTGAAAAGAAGGGCCATCTGTACCCCAATGTATATAGCAGCAATGGCCATGGTCGCCAAACTGTGGAAAGAACCAAGATGCTGTTCAACAGATGAGTGGATAAGGAAGATGTGGTCCATATACACTATGGAGTATTATGCCTCTATCAGAAAGGATGAATCCCCAACTTTTGTAGCAACAAGGATGGGACTGGAAGAGATTATACTGAGTGAAAGAAGTCAAGCAGAGAGAGTCAATTATTATATGGTTTCACTTATTTGTGGAGCATAACAAATAACATGGAGGACATTGGGAGATGGAGAGGAGAAGGGAGTTGAGGGAAATTGGAAGGGGAGGTGAACCATGAGAGACTATGGACCCTGAAAATCAACCTGAGGGTTTTGAAGTGGCAGGGGGTGGGAGGTTGGGGGAACCAGGTGGTGGGTATTGGGGAGGGCACATATTGCATGGAGCACTGGGTGTGGTGCAAAAACAATGAATACTGTTACGCTGAAAAGAAATAAAAAAAATGAGAACATACCCACACCATTCAAGAGAGAGGTAGACATGTATTTTGTATTTTTGTGTTAAAATAGCCTTATTCTCTCATAATCAAAAATTTTATAGCTTATTATTTCCCTCATTCTTTTATACTACTGAATTTAAATTCTGATTCTGCCCCTTACTACCTTGGGAAAGTTACTTTACTGGTAGATCCTTCAGTTTTCTCATTTCTAGTGGGAATAATAATAATGTAGATTATATAATGTAGGATTTTTGTGAGGATTGAATGACTTAATACATGCCACTTTACCTGTGTAAGCATACTGCACCAAGGAATTAAGTGCATTAGGATCAACTCCTTCCATCCTGACCTCTTCTTGTTTGGCTTCAAGCACATCATTAGTAAACATTGCAGCAAAGTAATCAGACACTGCGCTGAGAACCAACCTTGAAATGGGAATGTTTCATAGGATCTTAAATTAGTCAATAGTCTCATTGAAAAGCATGAAATACAATCAGTAAGTTTGTAACACTGCTGAGTTTGTTATCTGCATGAATCTTTTGCAGTTTAGTAAAGTGTAGTGAAATTAGATAGATAAATTAAGTAATTTGATTCTCTTTTGAGGGTTTGTGCTATTTTACATCAATTTCTCTAAACTTTGGCTCTTCTAAATATCACACAAGGAAATGGACCATATATGCTAATGCATTTTCAATGTAGGAAGATAAAAATATATTCTCCTCAGCATTCTAATTTGCTTTAAGTTGTCCAATTCATTCTCATTCACATGTTATACTCATGAAACAATCTGTCTACATAAGGATACATACCTATGGGCTGGAATTCGGAGGTGTCCAGCAATAAGTAGTACATCACACAGTTGTTTCTCTTTCAGGTAGTTCTCCATTCTGTGGAGAGTTTGCGCTGCATGGTTTATAGCATGAAAGTGCTCCTCAGATTTGTTGACATTCATTTCTTCAGGATTTTGTGTATCCAGTCTGAAATGTGAGTAAGAGGGAGAATATGGTTTATTCTCTTAATGAGTGTGCAAATGTCCAGTGGAAGTTTGAGCACACTGACTTCTAAAAGAAATATATTAGATTAAACTAAAATTAAAATTTGCCCTCAAATCTTAAATATTTCACTATGATTACTGTCTCATTTTCCATTTAAGTGTCATAGTTCATATTTATACATGGAATGGAACCAAAAGTATGTATATTTCCATTGAAGGGCTAGTGGTAATTTTTATATGCACAAACATAAACTTCAAAATGCTAGCTTCTTTCTTTGATTTTTATTGGTATCACAATTATGCCATTAGGCATAAAATTGTATTTATGATTCAAAATACATTTCAAATTTAATCATGTCCTGAAGCTTCTCCATGGAATACTCATTATGTGTTTCTTGAAGAATCTCAAACTTGAGTTCCATAACATTCTTTACAGTGTCAGTTCCATCAAGAAAATATACAATTTCCACCTTTTATATCTTTTTCCAGATTTATTGAGATAAAATTGGTATATAACATGGTGTGATTTTATATCTTTTTTCAGATTTATTGAGATATAATTGGTATATAACATTGTGTGATTTTAAGGTTACAGTGTAATGATTTCACATATGTATATATCGTGAAATTATTACCACAGTAAGGTTAGTTAACACATTCATTACCTCACATTTCTCATGTGTGTGGTGAAAACACTTAAGATCCAGTGTCTTAGCAACTTTCAAGTATACAATACAGTATTGTTAACTATAGTCACCATGGTGTACATTAGATCCCCAGAACTTATTTATCTTCCTTTTTTCCCCAGATCAATGGATTTTATTTTACTTTTTTTAACTTACATTAAATTAGCCAACATATAGTACAGCATTAGTTGCAGATATAGAGTTCAATAATTCATCAGTTGTATAGAACACCCAGTGCTCATCACATCACATGTTCCCCTTAATGCCCATCATGCAATGATCCCACCCCCCACCCACCTCCCCTCCAGCAACCCTGTTTGCTTTCTGTAGTCAAGAGTCTCTCATAGTTTTTCTCCCTTTCTGATGACTTCTTATTCAGGTTTCCCTCCCTTCCCCTATGATCTTCTGGGCTGTTTCTTATATTCCATATGTACATTAAACCATATGATAACTGTCTTTCTCTTATTGACTTATTTCACTCAGCACAATACCCTCCAGTTCCATCAATTCAAATACTAAGTATTCATCCTTTCCTATGGCTGATTAATATCCCATTTTGATATTATATGATATATATATATATCCATGTGATATATGTATATTTATATACTTATATATATAATTTCTTCTTTATCCATTCATCTGTCCATGGACATCTTGGCTCTTTCATCTTTTTTTGTTTATTTTCTTTTGTATTATTTTAAATTATTTATTATTATATTCAATTATTATTTTCAATTTTCAACATATAGTACATCATTAATTTTTGAGGTAGTGTTCATTGATTCATTAGTTGCATATAAACCCAGTGCTCATCACAACATGTGTCCTCCTTAATACCCATCACCTAGTTACCTCATCCCTCCACACTCCTCCCCTCTGCAACCCTCAGTTTGCTTCCTGGAGTCCAGAGTCTCTCATGGTTTGTCTCCCTCTCTGATTTTTTCCGCATTCAGTTTTCCCTCCCTTCCCCTATGGTCCTCCACACTACACCTTATGTTTCATATATGAGTGAAACCAGAAGATAATTGTCTTTTTCTCTTTAACTTATTTCACTTAACATAATCCCCTCCAGTTCCATCTATGTCCATGCAAATGGTAGGCATTCATCATTTCTGATGGCTGAGTAATATTCCATTGTAAATATGAACCACATCTTCTTTATCTATTCATCTGTTGAAGGGTATGTTGGATACGTCCACACTCCAAAGATAAAGATGTAGTGAAAAGAAGGAGCACATGCACCACAATGTCCACAATACCTCTTTCATCTTCTAAGTGAAAGTTTGTATCTTTTGACTATTTAAGCAAATATGATGACTGTTGAATTTTCAATGATGAAAGTTGTCTACGTGCTTTTTCAGCATCACACAATGGTGGAATTTAAATACTAACACAAGCATATAGAGACTTACAATCAGTAGAACCTTAAATACTTAATGCTTGGATGAACATACTAAAATTCTTTGCTTATTGTCTTTCTTGCTTTCAGGCATCATTTTCCAACCATCATTAGTTTTAGGTTCCCCCACCCCCAACTCAGCCTGTATTTCTTTGAAGATAACTTGGTCCAGGGTGACAAGACTTTCTGTTTAATTTAAATAAATTATTCATCTATAAATATTCTTTTTTTCTTTACATCTCTGATTTTTCTTAACCTTTAAAGACTCTTTGGGACCTTCAGTTACAGTATTGCATGGATAATTAAGGTAGCATGGTGTGACTATCTTTAAAAATTTTCTGCTACAAAATATGTTCATTTTAGAGGGGAACAATACTTTCTCACCATAGGCTAGAAAGCATTTAGCTTTCACTTAACTCAGTTATCCTAATATTTCCTCTGCTCAAGTAATGGTTTGATTTACATTGAGTCAATCAAATATTCAACATCATATTATCTTAGCTTTCTTCATGTATACTCAATCATTTATTGAAGAGGAGTGTATTCTAAAGGAGGAATATATTTGGGAAGTTCTGGCCAGGAAATAATTTTATTCTATGAAATTTCTTCAGGCTAAGGATAAAAAAAATCATCTTTAATTACTCACTAGGTTGGGATGTGTTTATTGGGCACACAAATTTATCAGATAACTCTAGTATTTTTTATAATTAAAATACAGATTTTTAGAATCTGAAAATCCTACCAACATGAACCACACAGAATTTTGTTATATTTGAAAAGACAGAGGCAACTGTATCTTGTGTCTCATTATCAAGAAATTAGTACACAAATAAATATGGGTATATCAATATATTACATCCAAAACATAACATACATATTAATCTAAATATGTAAAATATTATAATCTATACTTGGTCATTATTTAAGCAGAATATAATAAAACAAGTCAAGCAAAGAAACAAACAACAACAATTAAACTATTGAAACATAACCCAATCTGAATGAGTTCCCAGAGCCCTAAAGTACAATTCTCTTGCCTCCATTTTAGACATTGTAATGTCGGGTCAGATGTTATAATGGAAGCCAATGCATCAGAGAATATTCTTCCCTTTTCTTTATTGTACAGTATCTACAGATGGTGACATGGGAGGCAGCATGCTGAAATGAAAAAAAAAAAAACATCAAAATGCCTAGATTTAGTTCCTGCCTTTGTATACAAGCTGAGTGATCTTGGGTAAGTCACTTCTTCTTTCTAAGCTTTAATTTTCTCCTATAAAATGTAGATAAAAATAATACTAATACCAATACGACCAAGATTAATGTTTATGTCACATAGCTATTAAGATGGTTACATGAGAAAATGTACATGAAAGTCTCTGTATAGATGCTAAATCTCATGTTAAGTTCATCCTCTATGTAGTTATTTCTATAAAAATCTTTAAAACTTTTTATCTGGAACTGATATTCATTTAATTAATAGACTTTGATTTTTAGAACAGTTATAGAATTATAAAAAAAAATTTGAGAGTTACAGAGAATTATTTACTTTTGGTTGTCATAACTATGGAAGGGCATCAAGTAGGTAGAGGCTAGATATACTAATAAGCACCCTGTAATGCACAGGGCAGTTCTCTACAATAATTGTTCAGCCAAAAATTTCAATGGTTCTAAGTTTAAAACACTCTGGTCTATCTCTTAATTCTATAGTTAGTTTTTTAAGACTTTGAAAGCAGAGGATATATTTAAAAAAATAATAAAGTATGTGGCTAATACTATATTTTGTACAGAATGAACATGTAATCATTTATTTAAGTCTAATTTCAGTGACTAGTGTACATTAACTTTTTTTTTCTATAGCAAAATAAGTAAATTTGTTGAGTTTTGAGAATGAGGAAGAGAATCTGAGCTATCATTACAAAGAACCATTATTGTAAATGACATTTTACCATACCAAAAAAACTATTTTTAAACCAAAATTTTTAGAACAGTTTTAGATATACAGAAAAATTGAGATGACAACAGAAATTTACATGTCCATACTCAATTCTTCTTTACTCAGTTCCCCTTATTATTAATATTTTGCATCAATATGCTACTTTTTTATAATTAATAAACAAACACTGATACATTATTTTTGAGTAAAGTCCATATTTTATTCAGATTTCTTCACTTTTTACTTAGTGTCCTTTTACTGTTCCAAAGTCTGTATAACTTGTGATAATTTCTTCATTTACTCCATTACTGTCTTTATTTATAGTTAAGTTAAATTTCTGGTAATGAAATGTTTTAATTATCTCATTTCTAATTGTGAATATTCTATATATTTCCTTTTTAGTCACCATCGAGATTACATGTAATAGCTTAAAGTCATAACAATTTATTGTCACCAGATACATCTGATCACATCACAAAGACAATGATTCAATTGCACAGAAAATCAATTCCTTTATAACTATGCTCCTCCATTTTTGTTATAGACATCACAATTTACATTTTTTATGTATTGTGTACCCATTATCACAGATTTATATTCTTTTTTATTGTTCAGACTCATAAATCCTATAGAAGAATAAAAGGTGGAGTTATAAGCCAATATTATATTAATGCTTGTTTTTATATCTTGTTTTTATACTTGCTATGCAGCTTCCATTTTCCGAGGACATTATATTTTTGTAGAGTTACTGTCTAGCATCTTTACTTCCAACTTGGAGGATTACCTTTAATATTTCTTGTTGGGTAGGTCTAATGGTAATATAATTTCTTTGTATTTATCTAGAAATATCTTAATTTTACCAGATACATAATTAGTTTTGCCAGATATAGAATTGTCAGTTCATTTTTTCAGTACTTTAAATATACCATCTCAGTGTTTTTCTTTT